CTAGCTAGCGTTTTGACTATGCTTTTATAACTTCTTTGAAGTATTTTGGCTTAAATTGCTTGCACTATAACCTAGTTTTGAAAGGATGAAGGCATTAGCCACCCGTTGAATCGTTTCATAAATTTTTCATCTCACCGGAACAAACCCTTTAGGAAAAGCCATTTTGAGCCTGATCATTCCTTGTTTACCCAATTAATTGAGCTCCATAGCCAAATGGACTGTTTTCTTACCCGTGAATATTTCTGACTTAGTCTTAATGTTTAGGGAACTAAGGGATTAATTTGCTAAGTTTAGGGAATTTTTGTAGAATCCACTGTTGGCACTGTTCCTATGCCCCAAATGAGGTAAGAGCAGTCACTTTTTAGGAATTTGATACTTTTGAGGATTGCATTGTAGGCATGGATTCACATTAATAAATAAACTTTAATTGCTATTTTTTCCTTGGTGAGGCCGAGATTAGAATGGAGTAATGTCTAGTAAGAATCCGAAAGGTGAAAAATTAATATAGCTAGACCTCTTGCCTTGCGAAAAAGAGAATGGGAGCCCCGTTCAAAAAGCGTAAGTGTTCGCACAATAAGATGAGACTTGGGTATCTTTCGAAAGAAATGGCGTTCTCGTGCCAACATGACAAGGAAACCAGATCTTAACTAATTGAACTTGGAGGCTTTAGCACAATCAGCTTTAGTCTTCCGCGTACTTCAAGTATACGTCAAAGCACCAATGTGCCGCGGCGGTTTAGCTTAGTTGTACACCATGTCTACTCTTTGCATAGGTTTAGATGATTGTTCCTAAATTGTGGCCTACTGAGTTCCTTGATCCTAATAATAGCCCTGAAGTTCCCGAATGCATTGAGTCTTTGTTAAAGTATTCCAATCTCTCAAAAGAAAGGGACTGTTGTTACCATTCAGCATTCACCGTCACCTTCACAAGTCCTTCTGATCAATAGCCAGTTTATTTGTGTTTGCTGCCATTACTTGAAAGATGTTGTGAATAATTTTGTCAAATAGTTAGCTTGAGTGCAAAGATGTAGTTTAGGGAAGAATTTTCTTGATTTTTATTGTATGTTCTGTGAATATCCCTTTAACTACGTGTGCATGCTGACTGTTTTAAATTATGTGTGGTGATTATCGTAAGTCCCGTTGTTCAATTTGATTGGGGACAAGCAAAAGCTTAAGTGTGGGGGAGTCTGATAAGTCCGTATTTGAACACGCATTTGATGCGTGTTCAGGTTGGATTTTGATGGTTTTCCTAACTTTAAGGTGTTGCAAGTCTCAATTTTTGCTCAAGTTGCGATTATCAGGCGTTGGGACGAGTTCTTTGCATTTGGAATCGAATTGAAGAAGTTAGAGACCGGCAATCAGCGCTTGAGAGGCATTCAGGAAGGATTTGGAGGCACTCAAGGAAGATTTGAGAGATTTGGAGGTCATCGGGAGATTCACGACAAAATTCTGATGAAGAACGAGTATTTGATTGACCTTATATGCATCCGGGAGCATTTGGAACAAGGAAACGAAGATTTAATGAAGAATAAGGTCACGAACGGTCGTGCCCGGCGTTAGGCACGCTGTGCGTGCCTTGTTTTAAGCAGCAAAGTTACTGGAGGTCAGGCACGGTCGTGCCCGGCAGTCAGGCACGCCGTGCGTGAAGTGAAACGAAGGAGCAAAGTTACTGGAGGCCAGGCACGGTCGTGCCTGGCAGTTAGGCACGCCGTGCCTGGACGCGTTTAGCGGATCTCTTCCGCAGGCACGGTCGCAGGCACGGCCGTGCCTGGCGCCGTGCCTGACCCCGTTTTATCCTAATTCAGCTCAAATTGCTATGTTTCCTTTAAATACCACCCCCATAACCCTAATTAAGGGGGATGGAACTTTAGAGAGAGATTAAGGACGAGATTAGAGAGCTTTTTCAGCCAGGTTTTTCAATTCCTTAACATTCTTTGTAAATTCCTACTTTTTGATTAATGACAATTATTCTATTTATCCCAATTCTATTGATTCTTCAATTATGAATAGGGAGTAGTTTTAATTAGGGATTTGGGGTTGATGAAGGGGTTAATCATGATGTATGGCTAGATTCTTGATGGTGTAAATTGCATGAATGTCATTTAATTTCTGTTTGAATAATTTAATTGATATCTTTTGTAACCTAGAATGGCCACTAGAATTACAATTGCATATAGAATAAATTAAGAGAGATCTAATTTGTTCTAGGACACTTTCACACACACTTAATCGTTCGCTAAGAGATTAGTAGCGATTAAGGGGCCGTAAGCTCGTTCATCTTGGCAATAATTTAGGATCCTGTCGCATGAGAGATCAGTTTGGTCCCCTAAATTATTGTACTCTACGCCGCGAGAGCGGTAAGAACTTAGTATTGATTAGCTAGGCTCAATTAAATTAAATTCATGTAATTAAGCCTGATCTGCCAGAAATCTGATTACTCCGGAATCAATCCTTGTTCCCATCATCGTTAATTAAGAAGAACCCAAATTTTTACTTTTAGTAGTTTATTTGCAATTTTAGTTTTCTCAAGCAACCAAATCTCGCACGACCGCATTTGTTTTATTTATTTTTATCGCTGATTTTAGTTAATTCTTAATTCCCTTTTACCGTCCCTGTGGAGACGATACTCGTACTTTCACCGCTATATTACAATCTTTTTAAGTGCGAGAAAACTCACATCAATAGTGTTGCACGTATGGTTTGATGTGGAAAATGAGAGATTATATCCACGATAATACTCAACCAAGAAGAACGGTGGGTAGTATGAGGGATATCCTAGCTCCGAGAGGGTAGTGGTGGACGGTGGTGTTGGGTGGTGGCTCACGTAGCGTGAGAGAGGAGGAGATGACTGTTGGGTGGTGGCTCTCAACTCTCACTAGAATTATCTTATCGATTTCTAAAGCTCGTCTTCAGGCGCCGGTTTCAAAATATCAAGGGATGATTTCCTAATTTCTAAAACAAGACCGTATATACGTCACACTCATATCTTGGTGTGTGTTCTTCCTATTAGAGCGTATTATATCTCGTTGGAAAGATAATTTCGAGTTCTAAAGCTATTGTTCCAACTTCATTTACAATGCATTAAGTAAAAGGTACAGATTAAGCATAAATTCACAAATATTTCTGATTTCACTCCGAACTCGTGTAGAATATTATCTGATCATATCTTGCTCTATTTTGTTCCGTTGAAAGCCTTTTCTATCCCGTTGAAAAGATCTTATCGAGTTCTAAAACTCGTCTTCAGACGCCGGTTTCAAAATATCATGGGATGATTGCCTAATCTCTAAAACAATACTCTATTTAAGCTAAAAGTGCTCTATTTACGTTGAAAATGCTAAATCACAAAGATAAGGCTAATTATTTGTGACACTCATATCTTGGTGTGTGTTCTTTCGTTTAGAGCATATTATATCTCGTTGAGAATATAATTCCGAGTTCTAAAGGTATCGTTCCAACTTCATTTACAATGCATTAAGTAAAAGGTACAGATTAACCACAAATTCACAAATATTTCGGATTTCACTCCGAACTCGTGTAGAATATTATCTAATCATATTAGCTGCAAGCGTATATACTGTTCAGTTGCTACATAACTCTAAGTGTTTCCCGCTGTAGTAATTTCTGTATAATACGTAGTACAGTATAAAATTCAATTGGACCGGACAGAATTTAGCCTTCAGGATCGTCTCATGAATTTGGAGACCCCTATTCAAAATGCAAATTCGAGGGCCCGCTTTAATATAAAAACTAGAAAAAAAATTCAATCTAAATTCTTATTATATTTAAATCAATTGAATACTTATTAAAGAACGCAATTAAATATTTACAGGTAGTAGTTTCCCCCTTTCAAATAATTAATCTCTACATTTTTTGTTAAGTGTTTCAATTTATGAGAACATGATATTATATAATTAATTAATTAATGCTAGTGGCCTAAATATAATACTACTAGTGCTTTATAAATATGGGCCCCATGGGAAGTTGGGCCATGTTCTGTTTAACCTAATTAACATGCTAACAAGCGGCCCTGTGTAGCTGTGTTGTTTTTTCTTGGGCCTTTGCGCTATTGGACCGGACTAATTATAGCCAAAAACTCAGCCTACTCAAAAATACAAGAAAGGAAACATTTTGGGCCTATTTTTTTCATTTTTTGGGGCCTGTGGGCTCCGCCTCCTAATGAGGGGCCGCCCCTATTTAGATATATTATTACTATTAATAATGTTTTTTATCAATTTGACTTAGTGTTGGGTTTTATATAAAAAATATCATTTTGTTTTTTATACCATGGGATTTGTACTCATGTAAATTCCTTTAAAAAGTATTCAAGTTATGTTTTGTGTTATGGAGCTCTATCAATTTGTGGAACTCGCACTACAATAAAAATACGGGATTGGCACGGAATTTGGCATGGACTTACCGATTTTTCGTGCCAAATAGCTCGTGCCAAAGTATTTTTGGCACGAATTTGGCATTTTCCTCCCAAAATCTCTGTCAAATCGCTGCCAAAATCCCTGTCAATCCCGTGTTTTTTTGTAGTGTCGTAGATAGCCCAAAGGTTATTGTGAACAACTTTTGAGTAGTTTTGTAAAAAAGTACTCCCTCTAGTCCTTATTAAACTTTACACTTTTACTTCACACATATTAAAGAAATAAATTTGACTTTACTGTAGAGTACACTGTTTTGCACTGTTTTGCACTATTTGGTGTAGATTTGTTTGTCAAATAAGAAAAATAAGGTAGTGTAAAGTTTAATATGAGACGGCCAAAAAGGGAAGTGTAAAGTTAATCAAGAATGAAAGGGAGTAGTTTTAAAGAGAAAGGAGTTTTAAGATAGAATTGGATTGCATAGAATGAGAAAATATTAGACGGTATGGAAGCACGTCAAAGTAATTGACCCTTAATGAGGTGTCATGCGAGGGTGATTTTATTCCGTTTGTTAAGCACGTGGAACGATTGCACGCCAACCTCCTCTATAAATACGCATAGAATGATAGAAACGCTCAAATTCACACAAAATATCATCAACTTCCTTGTTATCTCTTTCTCCTCTGGCTTGGAATACAGTATTAAATTAGTTTGTTTCGTTAAAAGAATTAACCGTAGTCTTCTCTAATTAATTCCTACAGTTTCAGAAAGGAAAAAAAGTTGAAAACCGAAACGTTAACAGCCGGCCGGGAATTGGCTAGAGGAAATCTTTTTTTCGTTTTCCCTCAGATATTTTCTTCTTCTTCATATTCTTGGGGTCGGGATTGAATCGGTTGATAATGGAGGGAGGGGTGCATCCAGGCACAGATGCAACTGCCTTCAGGGACTGTTTGGCTCTGTCTCGGAAGAACCCTTACGTTCTTCGTCTGGCTTTTTCTGCTGGAATTGGTGGCCTTCTCTTTGGCTATGATACTGGTCTCACTTCCTCTCCCTATCCCACCCCCACACCAAATAAAGCACTTCAAAATCTTTCGTCAATAACTGTACTGTATATGCATAGATATGTATGCAAATTCCATCTCTGTACAACTCTTAGTTAAGTACCGTATATGCAAATTCCTTATTTGCCTTATTTGACAAACAAATCTACACCAAACAGTGCAAAATAATGTCAAACAGTGTCAAACAATGTAGTGACACAATGTACTCTACAGTGAAGTCAAATTTATTTCCTTAATATGTGTGAAGTCAAAGGGTAAACTTCATTAAAGATGAAGTTTTGGGTGCTTTTCCAAAAAAAAAGATTTTATCGACTGCTTTTCCCAAATTCTGCTTCATCCCTTTTTTTATATATGAAATTGTGATTATATTACTGGTACTACGTATATTTTCACTCTACCTACTTAGGAGTTGGTTTTGCTAATCAGGATGTGGCACATTCTTTTTATTTTGAGAGGCCGTTTGGTAAAGCTGTTTTTCGGCTCATCATGCTTATCAATCAACTTTTTCACTAAACACGTAACTTTTGTTTTTGCGCACTAAATTGTGTAATAATAAGAAAATAGTAAGTTTAGAGTTATTTTTCAGGTTGTATTGGCTAAAATTACTGTCGATGACCATTTTAGTTATTTTCATATATTCCTTCCGTTCCTAAATAAACTTCCAACTTTCCTTTTTCGTCCGTTCCAATTAAAACTTCCACTTTCCCTTTTTGGTAAAGAATTTATGGTTCAAAACATTTCTTACACATTTCTCTCCCCTCTGCACAACTCTCCACCACACAATATCCACTATCTTAAACTTTGTGCCAAAAGCATTTGGAAGTTAAAATGAGAACGGAGGTAGTATAATTTTTTCTTTATTTTATTAATAAAATGTATTTTAAAAATACTTTTTTCTTAAATCAGCAGAATCAGCCAATGCAGCCACTTCAGCCAGAACTTCATAAATTTCAGCAGAATAAGCTGAATCAATCGATTTTCGTGTTACCAAACGGGCTCTGAATATACTCCGTACATGTTAAAATTCATTTAAATAAATTTGTTTCATAAGTGTTCTGTAACGCGTCTCTTGTGCTCCCGGACTTGAATTGTATGTAGGTTATGCCCTTTATGTTTTGGTGACAACTTCGATACCCATTTAAAAAATGGGGTACCGTACCTGTCACTCACCTGATTGGTTCAAATCATTACATCATTTTTAATTTAGATTTAAATAATTCAACTACACCATTCTGATTGGTCCATGTGGACAAAGGTACGATATCTTAAGGGTACCATACAATCTACCTTGTGTTTTTAGTGCATGTCTCAAGTTATCAATGGTTTTCCAAACTTGAAATAATTAATTATGTTTTATTGATTTCAAGTTTATAGTGTGCGGTCAAAAATGTTTGTTGCGGTGAAAAAACACTTCTATTGCATCCTTTCATATACTTCGAGCGTTTTGTTTATAATTGTGTGATTTAAGTAGAAATTGTCATTCAAAAATATTCATTTTTTAAGTCAACCTCAAAAACAGGTTTTTTGAGTTTTACTCACTTCTACGTCTTTAACTTTGGATGTTTTTACTTGGACGTCCCAGATTTGACTTAAATAGATCAGATAATATCAGACTTAAATAGTAAAAATCAAACCAGATTTAAACAGATCAGACCAGATCAGACTTAACACAAACCAGACCAACAAATTATAGTCGTAAAACATCTTTTGTCTTTTTTCACAAATTTGTAAGTTTTGCTTTTCTCATTTTGTCTAAATACGTACATCCAAATCTCCATAAATCACACCATATGTAGCACGTAGTAATAATATACTCCGTAATAAAGTTAAAGTACTTTCCGTGTTCCATTTTGTATGTTTTTTTTTATTATCCCAAAATGGATGTCATGTTACCCTTTTTTGATAAGAAATTTGTGATCCATGTAATTTGACTTTATTTTATTCAAACTTCAAGTACAACATTTACTTTTCAACTATTTTATTAATAATCGTGTCAAATTGAAACGAGACAACAACCGAGGTAGTAGTAGAAAATAAAAGTGTTGTTTTTGAATGGTATATTAATAATAATACCTACTGACAAATATAAATTAACAAATTTATACACGAGATGATAATATAAAATCGGTCTTATGTTTCTATGTTTCTATATCGATTTCTTAATAAAATGAACTTTACGAATTGTCATTAATTTTATGTAACAACAAACATGTAAATTGAAAAATAATAAGTTTAAATTTTTTAGTATTTTTATTGTTCTAATTTGTTTCTAACTTTTTTTTGTAAAAATTTGTTTGTGAATTGATTAATAGGAGTGATATCTGGAGCTCTTCTTTACATAAGAGATGACTTCAAGTCCGTTGACAGGCGGACCGTGTTGCAGGTATGTTTTTCAACGTTATCTACAGCATTTTTGTCTCTACTCATCTCTTATTAGGTAAATTGTTGTTTTGTCTCACGAAACTTGGCACTTTAATTAATTAATGATGATCATCGAGTAATTATATTTTAGGGAGAATTCTCGAAATAGGATTAAATGAAATTTTAATTTCATAAATAGGACCATAATTATAATTTTTTTCTAAATATAACTACCTTTCATATTCTGCACTTGCTTTCTACACTTGCTTTGTTCACATTAATTATTAAATTATAAAAGTAATAACATAAATTTATTTATAATAAAAATGTAAAAAAACAAAAAAAAAACACGAAAATAAATATTAAATAAAATTTATAAAAATAGAAAAATTAGAAAAACAAAATATTATGATATAAAAACTTAAAAATTTAAATTAAAAATAAAAAACATGAAAATTATATATATAAAAATATGCAGGTCTCTGCTACCGCCTCAACAACCTCCCAGCACCACCAGTTCCGACCACTAGAAAAATGCCAACATGTGTCAGAAATGTCATTTTGATGGCAGTTTTTAGAGCATTTTGACATTTTCAAAGAGTAAAAAGTCATATTCATTACATTTTAAGAGAAAAATAACAGTTTCCCACAAAGTGACATTTATATCTATATTTTATGTTTTTTTAATGTGGTTTATCTATTTTTTATTTATTTTTAAAGTTTTTATTTTTTTAAAATTTTTTATTATTCTAGTGTTTTTGAAAAAATATTTTGGATTTTTTATATTCTTTTATGATATTTTGTATAAGTTATTTTTTTATTGCAAATTAAAATTTGATTATTCTATTAAGGTATGGTAAAGATTTAATAGGAAGATAGGGTATGGTATACTTTAATCATATTTTGGGAAAATAAATAACATAGTTCTATTTTTGCATTTAGCAATTAAATTTTTCTTATTTAGGGCTATTGTCACTATTTTTTAATACAAAACTCTTTCAAATATGAAATTACATTTAAATATTTTTTGTTAAACACTGTTTCATTAAAGTATAACAGTTATATGATTTATTTAAATACAACAACTCATATTATTGCTCAAAGTTCATTATCATTGAAAAAAGAAAGAAAATCTCGTCAAGTTGTATGAAGTCCTAATTATAACAATCTTATTCTAGTTTTTCATTCTTGATCTAGATGTCTTTATTTATATTAGAAAATGTGAGCTAGCTAATTAATACTATGAAGTTTTTTGGGTTACATTTGTTGATCGTCTTAAAAATTTCAGGAACTTAGAAAATTTTATCATAATTGTAATTTTAATCAAAGCATACAACATTTCTCTAAATAGAAGTCAATTTCTAATCTTCTTTAAACATAATGATAAAAAAAATCTTCTCTAAACATGACTAGTTAAACTTTAATTTCGTACCCCTAACCAGGGTCGATCCTAACAATTTTTTTACCCGAGTCGAATTTTTGTAAAAGACCTTTGAATAATGTAAAATTTGGATATTAAGATTTGTAGGCAGTAATTTAATTAATATGCCTACATCATATAATTAATCCCACATAGTTGCATGATATTATTTTGATTAATATTTTTTGTATTGTTGTTATTTTAATAAAATAGAAAAAATCGTATGTATATAATACTAGAATACAATTATTTATGGGCCCTTATTATTTACCAAATATTTTGGGCCTGAGGCGATTGCCTCTTTGCTTCAAGGAAGGGTTCGGCCCTGCCCCTAACACGCCTACTTTAATTAATTAATTGCCTCATAATTCTCTTGACTGGGTTAGTCCGTTGGTGACGGGCAGTCCGGTGGTGGTGGCGGTGGGGGATGGCGGAGCTCCGGCGACTGGCCGGGTGGGTAAAAAAATATTGATATATTTTTTGCCATGCCAGAGCTCCAGTGACTGGTGGCTGCATCGATTGAGAACTGCAGCATGAATCTAGGTGGCAGCGGCCGGAGTCCGGTTGGCGGTTGTGGCAGGCTTCAGTGGTGGCAATGGGTAGGGGTATTGGGGGTAATATCTGCAGGAACATTTTTGTCTAACCACAGGAAAATACTCATATTTGGAGAATTTTGAAATTCTAGTCTTATTTTACATATCTCCCGTATTTTATTCCTACGTGGCCATATGGGTAAGAGTGCGTATAACGTGGGATCATCCCACGGTGAGCATTGTGCTCCACTAGAAACAATATAGCTTTACACAATTTTTTTTTAAAATCGCATGAACAGTACACGCGTGAATAGTGCACGCGTGTACGGTAACTATTTTTTTCGTTCCTTTTATTCCAGTAACATGAGTGATGTAACTCGCGTGTAAAGATATGTAACTTACGTTATTGATCAATGTAACTCAAGTTCATTCGAAATGTAACTTGTCAAATACATAGTACAAGAAATACAATATTGCTTTCAATGTAAACAATGAAAAAAGAGAGTCTAATTGCACAATTGCTTTAGGTAAATCGTGAATATGTTTTTTTTAATATCATGACCATAAAAAATAATTTTTTAAAAAAGATCGATTTTTTTAATAGCAGGGGGTGATTTTTTAATGTAATTGATGTTATTACAAATGTAACTCGCGTTGATGGCAAATATAACTTGGGTGTATACAGAATGTAACTTGTTGGAAAATTGAACAATTTTTTTGTGTGTTTGAGAATAATATATATATCATAAACATTAATTTCAATGGAAACAATGAAAATGTGATCCTAATAGCTTAATTACTTTTTTTAAATGGTGAATATGTTTTATTTTTAATATTAGGGCTATAAAAATGATATATCATGGGTTTATTCCGTGATGTAACTCGCATACATTAAGATGTAACTCGCGTATATTAAGATGTAACTCGCGTACATTAAGATGTAACTCACGTATATTAAGATGTAACCCGCGTACATTAAAATGTAACTCGAACTGAAAAAGATGTAACTTCATGATATATTATCAAATGTACCTTCAATAATTAAAATAAAGAAACTAAATGTCCTTAAAACCTCTAAAAACATATAAACTGATAAAAAATATATATTATAGAAAAGCATGTCCATATAAAAAATATTACAAAAAAGTGTGAATATAAAAAGTATATTACAAACTAAGTATATGAATATAAAAATATTACAATTTATTGTAATATATTAAAAAATGTTATGTATTGTTAAAGAATAAAAAAAGTAGATTCAATTATAATTTAAGATAAAGATAAAGAAAAGTAGGATTGCTATTAAATTTTTAGTATTTTAATTTAATGGAAAAAGAAAAGAATTGAACAAAAGAAAATTAAAGAAAGAAAAACAAAAGAAAAAGAATGAACGATGCTCCAGTAAAAAAGAAAATGGAAGAGCACTTGCCTAAAGTGGGATCGGCACACCATGCGGAAGGTGGGTCGATCCCACGGTATAATTTGCCTATGGGTAATTAAACCTTTTAACAGTTACTCATTCACTCATTATTATCATATTTGTCCCTTTTGAATCTAACTGGTTCGTTGCTCGTAATTTGAATTTCCTTAAGGCCCTGTTTGGTTGGAGGGTTTCGGAGGGGAGGGAGGAAAGCGGAGGATTTGTGTGTGTTTGGTTGAAGGAAATAGGGGGGATGAGAAGGAAAGTGGAACGTTTTCAAAATCCTCCACTTCCTCCCATTCTAAACCCCTCAAATCGGGGTATTTCGGAGAAAACGTGTTGATAACCACAAACTATCCATCTCATACGTGAATGAACAAAACGTTATAGTATAAAAAGGTAATAAACAAAAAGTTTTGAAAAATTAAAAATTTAAAAATTTTAAAATTTAAAGATTAAAAAATAAAAATTAAAAAAATAAAAATTTTAAAAATTAAAAAATTTAAAAATTATAAATTAAAAATTTTAAAAATTAAAAATAAAAAATTTAAAAAATAAAAATAAAAAATAAAAAATTCCAAACTGAAAAATGAAAAATTATAAAATTAAAAAAGTAAAAAATCAAATAAAATAAAATTATGACTCGTGACCATAGGAGTAATATTCACAATAGTTAGACATGTATCTATTTTTTAAGTAAGCTATCAAATAAAAGTAAATTGCGAAAATATTTTCATTAAATCTTTCTTTCTATTTCCTCCAACCAAACACAAATTTTTAACAAAATCCTTTCTTCCTATTCCCTTCCCTCCTTTACTCTCCCTTCTCTCCCCTCATTTGAACCAAACAAGGCCTAAGAGCGAAACTCGAATAGAAGGATCCACTTTTCTGTGCGGGAAGTAGAGGATCTCCGATGGTTCATTTGAATGAATTGTTTGTAAATTTAAAGATAATACGGAGTAGTTTATTATTATTGGTTTTGAAGTGTTAGTAAAAATGAAAAACTAACTTGAGTAAGGAGAATTATTAAATATAACATTATTAATAATAAATGAAGAAGAAAATGATTTAGCTACCCATTGAAATAAATTTTAATTTTGCTACAAATGCTTATGTGGTTAGTCAAGTCAAAAGAAAAATTAGTTAACCACGGCAGATGCTGTTATAACACTGCAATTAATTAGGCAAGATTATCATGGAATTCTGGTAGAATCAATATTAAAACATCCCCGTTTGAGCTCTTTTTAAATAAATTGTTTTTCTCTTTCACATCATTGTCTCATCATGTAATTAAATTTTAAATAATATCAAAGTTCTAAACTCTTCATCACAATTATACTCAAACAATTAGTTCTTCTAGAGATATGCATTAAATGTATTTTAACTAAAATCTAAAATAAATTGGATTTAAATCTTGATACCAGATTTCCTTTTTCAATAATCTCCTTAACAATCTTTCTCTCACAATTATAATCTTTGAAACAATCTTACACATTATTCAATTAATATTAATCTTCAAATAAAACATTATTAAATCCAATCTCTCCCTAAATTCAATCTATAATGTGATTAACCGTACACTTTCTTTCTAATATTAGTTCAACACGTCAATGTGTATCTACAAATTTTACTGGATAAAGTGAAGTAGC